GGATCTTTTTAAACTATTGAAAGTTCTTTCCTTAAAGAACTAATTCATACATGAAAATCTTATTTACCACGATAAAAATAATAATATACATTAATCTTCTGTTATCTAAATTAATTATTTGTTGGAAACATTAATAAATTTACCATTAATTATTTACCTGCTATAGTTAACCATTGTCGACTGTTCAAGATGTATGCAAATTTAATTTATTATCTATTTCGATAAATTTTTATTACTTAATAAATTTTTACCAATAACGATTCGGAAATTTGTAATTAAAGCACTGATAGTTGATTAAATTACAAACAAATATGTGTTATGTTTGAGGTTAAACTTGTTTCTTTATATTTTAAATAATACATGTTGTTCGCTGCTCTTTCCGTAATTTATTTAGATTTTTGTTAGCATGTATTGAAATAATTTGTTTACAAAATAGTAATTACTATTAAATCTCATCTGGTGGGCGCTAAATTGTCATGACCCATGGCTCCACTACCCTAATGAACTAGGGTAGTAGAGCCGATTACCGGGGGTGATCAATTGCTGCATCTTTCGCTTGTTTTCGGGTATAATTAATTTCATATTTATCGAATAAGATACATTACATTTTTTCATTCAGGAATGAACAAAATAAAAGAATGAAAAGATTTAATATGTATTATTCGATACATATAAAATTATGTCTGAAAAAATGTAATATGTATTATTCGATAAATATAAAATTAATTATGCCTGAAAACAAACCAAAGGCACAGCAATTGGTCATCCTACAGTATCTCTTTATTAAAAACGTATGTTTTCGTTGAAAATATAAAGTCATCTCTTTTAAATAGCTGAAGTAGCTTGATTGTACATACAAAAGGAAGCGCAAACATTTATTTTTTAATTAAATGCTGCAATGAAGGAGTTAATGAAATATGCACTGTCTTATATCAACAGGTTCACAGCCGCTAGTGTTTTCGCTGCCTACCTCCTCTGTTAAAAAGTTTCATTAAATGCAGCATACCTCCTTTTTATTAAAATACGCGAGCAAAAAAAGATCATGGACTTTCAGTTATTTAAAATATAGTATAAATTGAACAACAACAATGAGAAACAACGGTTTAGGGAGGAAAAGGAGCCATTTTAATGGATGCATTGAATTCAAAACTAATAGCACAGCAGATGATGATAGAAATCGCCATACAAACAAATGTTAGAATATTTGATCTTCTAACATAGAGTTCGAACCATTCAAAAAGCCGTAAATTGCTTTTAGAATACGTTAATAATAATTAATCGTCACAAAAAGGCGAACCCGCTCGTTCAAAAACGGAAATGTGTGACTTCTTCTGGCAGGAAACGTTTCAATTTGGACGAGTCGAATGATCGAACTTATTACTTTTATGACTTAAAGAAAGGAGAAACCGCAGTTCAAATGCGATAAATGTACCCTTCTAAAGATCAAAATCATTTTTTACAGATCAAGTTTATTTACTTCGGTTTTTTCAACTATTGTAGTAAAAATCAAATCCAACGTAAATTGGTTGTTCTGAAAATTTTAGTTTATTGTATGTATGTAACAATGCACTTGAAGTTACATTTATATTATTTCACTCTCCACATACACACGAAATTAATGTGATTTGAAACAAACGGACATCCAAAATAACAATTATTTTAATAATTTTTACGGATAAAATTAGTGACGAAATCGTGTCTATTATTTAAATTGAAACTACTAACCGTGAAATGAAATTGTTTAGAAAACCACATGATTAATAGACTTTAATTTTTGGTTACAAATAACAACTAGAACTAACCGAAAATTTTTGTTGCCGTATTTTCTGATTTTCCGCTGGATAACAGTTATAAACAACCGGAACAGAGTTTCCCCCGACAATAACTGTTACGACTAACTCAAACAAATGTTCCTCATCAGTAATGATTATGGACAATGAAAAGAGAATTTTGGTCACATGTAACTTGACTGCGAATCTTTATGCAAAATAAAAATTGTCCCAGGCGATTGTAAGAAATATAAATTAAACAAGAATAAATTGTTTCGCTTACTAATTTTAATAAGTCGAAAATAGGAGAATAGTACTATCAAACTGTTCTTAATAAAATGTATAAAATATCTGCAGTCTAGATATAACTATTACGTATAATGAAAAACATTTGACTTAAAATAATTAATAGTTATGCAACAATTTTCATCAAATTGATCATTACAGTTAAGGTCTCTGGAAGAAAGTAAATATGATCTGCAAACGACTGAATTCGTAAAGCAAAACCCGTATTCAAATCTAGGTATAAATATTTGGAAAAGTATTGGAAATAATTAATGAAATACTCTCGTTCGTCCGAAATATTATTTATGTTGTGGTTAAGAAAATTATTAATTGAAACAGTATTTTCTTGAGATATACTGAAAATAATTATTTGAAATATTAGGTTGTGCAATAGTCCGTTCGCGTTTTCTTGTAAGAAAATATAGTACCGTGCAGTCGTCGACACGAACGGACTTATTATACAATTTCAGCCTAATCTACACTATCTTAAAGTAGACACTTCCAGCTTTCATTTAAGCTGAGTTGCATAGAAATAGCTCTACGGGAACGTATCTTAAAATCCATCTGAACTTTTCCCTTTAAATCTTGTAAATCCCATAATGTCAGAGGTCGATTCTTTTTAACTTTTCAAAATGATTTCGTCATTTTATTGCAATCTACAATTTACCCAGTCTTAAAGTAGATACTTCCAGTTTTCATTTGAACTAAGTTGCATAGAAATAGCCCCACGAGAACATATCTAAAAATTCATCTGAACTATCGCTTTGAATTCGTGTAATTTTTCTTGTCTTTTCTTAGATATACTGAAAGTCCGCGAACTGGCTTATTACACAACTTAATAATATTTCGTATTTCCAAATTTCTATTAATTATTCGAAATTCTGTTTCTTACGATTAGCATTTACGAGAGAAAATAAATCTACAGAAACAGTACAAACACATATTATTTTGAAAAATAAGATTTTTCTTGACAACATACACATCTTTTAACAATGTACATATCTGAAACGATAAAGAAAATATTTACATCGATCAAGTGTTTCAGACTCGCACATTGTAAAGAGATACTTATTATATACATGTGTTCGTAAATTCGATGAAGTATTTCAACTCGTATTTCATTTAATAAAGGAACGAATCGCTATATCATATGGAGCATATGTAACATAGTTGAAAAATATATTCGCAAATATTTGTATCTCTTAGTTGAAATAAATATTTTTACCGAGAGATCTGCCCGTATTGTCGCTGGGTGTAGTAGTTCGCTAATGAAAGGCTCGCGATTAAGGAGTTGCAGGTTGTGGCCGTATTTGTGTACGAACAAACGGTCGAAGGCATTTGATTGAAACGCGTGGTGTATTGCCGTATTGCGTGTGCCGCGCCGTAGGTATCGAAAAATCGTCGAAGGCTGAAGAAGGGACCGAAGAATGGTCGGCAAAGGACGACAAGGTGGGGAGCACGGTTCACTGTGCAACGCCGATGGTGGGGATGATCGCGGCGACGTGGTGGGGTACAGCGGGAAATAGAGCCGGTAGTAGCGGCAGTTGCGTCTCGAACAGCGCGCGTGTTGTTCCGTTTCGTTCTGTGTGTGTAGCATCACGCGACGGCCACCCGAGGCTTTTACGTGCCGCGACGAACCTCGTTTCTTTTTTTTCTTTTGTGCCAGTCCGCGAATTGCACCGTGCCGCGCCACGAGTTGCGCCGCGAATTACACCGTGAATTGCACCGCGAACCGCGCGACGCCGCGAGCCCCGCGGATCGCACCCACGCGGTGTCACGACGGAAATCGTAATAACGTGAGACGTCCTAGAAACGGGACAGTGGATTCGGTGGTGTTTTAGTGTTACGTTCGTTCTGTGTTAACGTTCGTTCAGTTCGCCAAGACCAGCGCTTCCTGTCGCGTAGGTTTTACCAAGGAGTTATTTACTCTCTCGCTGGACCATTGGGGATTTTGTCTGTGTCTCAACCACCCTCGGCCGAGAGATCATTGTTGATATTTCGATCGAGCACGCACCGCACCGATCCAGTCCTACTGTCTTTGGTGAGTTCAGCGATCGTTTTATATCACCGATTGGGGCTCTCCTCCTTGGCTTTCGTCCCCTCGAGATCCTCACGGACGCTGATCGAGAGGGATTTTCTTTTTGTGGACGCGTCATCAAATCCGGTGGATCGCCGCCGCGTCGAGTGTCAACGATCGAGGACTCTGATTGGCTCTTAACGCATTCTATCACTGTCTCGAACTGCACGGACACTTACCGTCTGTCAGCCGGCGGTTAAGAAATGTCGTGAATACGAACCGTTGTCCACCACAATTACGAATGCCGGCGGCGTGTCAGAGTCGCCACGGCGTTTGGCACGAAGTTGCAATAACGGTTGGTTTATTCTCGTTCGTACGTCTGGTGTGCTTCTTGTCATAAATAGTAAATACACGTGTTCACCGACGACGACGACGACGACGACGGCGACGACGTCCGCGGACGTCGCGTCGCTGCGGACTCGCGTCCCTTGCGCGCGTCACAGAGCACTCCGAAAATTAATACGCGTCCTTTCCTTCGAACCTTTTACCCTGTGCTTCGCCGGATCTCTCGTTCCTTCGTTTACCTGGTGTTTAATCATATTACGGAACGTTCGCCCCAACGCGATCAAAGAGGCAAAGCCTGTCGCTATGAATAATTTTCATTCGTAAAATTTCTAAGCAAACTCGCGGTTCTTTGGCAACGCGACACTGCCCGCAGGAGCATCGCGTCGTTGGCATTTTGCGAAACGATGTTCTCGGGTCGAATTTGATGCTCAAGTGCGATCTGGAATGTAAATACGCCGAGGATGAATAACGCAGAAGCACAAGTTTAACCACTGATTTCTGTTTATACACGTAAACGCGAGCAATTTAGTAAGTGATTACGATCATTGTTTTCCAAAATTTAAGTTGCCTAGATTCCCGCGTTGTCACTTTTACTCCGACGAGATGATGGTCTTTAAGGAAACTAGGGGCTTTTGAATAGATCTTGTAGCGGTTTGGTGTTTCTTTTTTGCTTTGGTTAAGGACCATCGGATATATAGCGAGAATCATTCGAGTGTAAAACCGTGCAAAACCGGCCAAAATGTGCAGACCCGTATATATACGGTCGGCGTCGCAACTTATGTCGCTAAAATGTTCAGATTCGAATATATCCGGGCAGTAAAAATAACTGAATAAAAACCAAGGAAAACATTCAATTTATTGATATTCATCGTGTAATTCTGTATTGTAAGCTGTAAAGTTTGTTTATTTGGGATTATAAAATATGGCCTTTTAGGGTGACACTTATAAGCATCTCTGACCTGGTAATTGTTTCTATCTATCTATATCCATTATTGCGTATCTAATTAGCGTTGGCACTTTTGTGAGTTTTGTTATGACTAATTTATTTATTACTCTCCAGTTATCTCCGATCTCTTTCTATTTTTTGCTTATTCAGGAATAAAATATGCACTTTTAGGATGGAAGTAAAGTAGACGTTATCAAAGTGAATTTCTTCAAAGACAATTGTTTTTTATTTTTTACAAATATTATTAGTGTCAACATATAAAAACGTTTTTGTTTTATGGTGTATTTTTATAGAGAGTAAATTGGATTTTTAGTGTATAAAAGGTATGTTTTCTAATGTTGAAATAAGGAATGTTGGGCTATGTGCT